TTTGTGGTACATGGAAGGGATCATATCGCTCGAAGACTTGTGACCGCCATGACTCGGTTAATTTCTATTTTAATTTTAAACTTATAGATATATGTATTCAATTATAAGTTTGATGAAAGGTGCGCGCTTAAAGTAGTTCTTTGGGTTTCGACACTTATATGGTCCAAGTGGGAGAATGTAATAATATTTTTATATTATTCTATTATTGTGGACCATATAATTAATTAGACCTAATTGAATTAATAGTTAAACTGAATTAAGGTGAATATGTATTTAATGGATTATTAATGTTCTAATATTAAAGAGTCTAATTTGTGATGTTTGACTTGGACAATAAGTTAGGTTAGAACATGGGGAATTTAGTAGGATTAGGATTGTCAGTCTCCTCCTATATATACTACATGCCCCTCTCTCCCATCTCATACGAAAATAGAGTTCTCAACATCAAGGGCTTTATGAAAAGACGAGAGACGCAGGAGAGAGAAACAATTAAGAGGCAAAGACAAATCAATTATTGGAGATTACGAGAAAATTGGAGATTACGAGGAAGAGATCGCAGATCAACATCATAGATCAAAAAAAGAGGGAAGGATTATAAGCTGGATTCTTGTAAGTTCTATGTGCAATTTAATTAATGCAAAGATCCATATTCTATAAATTGATAGAATTACATGCTTAGAGTTTATTCAATTCCGCCTAATAGTTATGAATATAGCCGTTAAATTTCTTACACGTTTGACTCGCCTGCTATGGTAATGGGAGGTTTTATTCTATATGTTTATTAGATGTACATGTGTTTTTCTTTTATCTTTCTGGTTTTGTGTTGTGTGTAATCCAGCGTCGTCTAGCATCTAGTCTCCTTCATGGAGTTTGTTTTATTGTTTCTTGTTGTCTACTTAATGGAATTTGTACCCCTTGTTTGCATGTGTCGTTACAAGGAGGTTGGTCTAGACTTTGTTCAGGTTCTTTGTGGTGTTAGTTAACACCTCGATTGTACGCTATTGAGTTTCTATTTATTAATATATTTGACGTTTGAAAAAAAAATCATTCCTTAAAATAAAGGAGCAATTTAAAATAAAATGATAAAAAGGGAAATATATCAAAATTTTTAAATTTAATAGTTGGAATGCTTTATTCTCCTGTTTGATAGCCTATTTATGTTTAATTATAGTTTTCTTGTCTGTTTGCTAATTTTTCTTGCCAACTCGTCAGTTGGAGGTCCAATTCAATATTTTCCTTAGAAGGTATCGGGAAGGAACTGGAGTGGAATAAGATCAATTCCAAGTTAATTCGCAATTTTTTTTAAACCCACCAGTTAGACACATAGACTCATATAGTCATTGATTCTCCCAAGAGCACACAATTGCTGTTAGCTAGCATATTGATGACGAGAAAGCCATTTTTATTGATTTTGAGAATACGACTTGAAGACCAATGATTTATGGTAGTGCAAACGACCTCGCCTTGGTTGAACGTCCTTTTATCCGCTCATGAGCTGATGAGTGACCTGAAAACTAGCATTAGGGTTGGTCCCAACGTATAAGCTCTGATACATAATTCAGTAAACTGGGATGAAGATGATAATGAACTGTATATAGTTGTATGCATATAAGTCTAGAGTATCTAGAGTTGTGATGGTTATACCTCACCTCTTTATATAGTGGTGTTACCTTGTGTTCCAAGACTGAGCTACCCGATCGTACTTCTCGAGTGTCTAAACTTCCCAATTTTGTTAGCCTATGTGGTCCTACCCACGCGACCTTATCCTAATTATATCCCTTCTTACCTTCTATGTGGTGTGTGTTTACGTTAGCCTACTTCATTAGATAACATAATTGTGTTATGAGCTCAGTTTCCTTTGAACTAAGTCGTTCTCACCTTCAATGAGTGGTGGTCAGCGTTTGGAAATTGAGGGCATATCTTTTTAATCACAAAGTTTATGTTCAAACTAATCTACCGTTGGGAGAAACTTTGGGACGACCTACAGTGTCAGGAAGGATGGTCAAGTGCGGTCGAACTGAGCGAGTATTCAATCGAGTACAAACCTCGAAGAGTTATCAAGGCTCAAGTTCTGGCGGACTTTATACAAGTGGGAACAGGAGTTGAAGTCGAAAGAAAGTGGCAGATATTTTTCGATGGCTCGGTAGCAAAATGAGGTGTGGGGGCTCACAGCTATTTTAATTTCTCCCACAGTAGATAATCTAGAATTTGCGACCAAGTTGGATTTCAGGGTCGATGGCTCAATATGAATCGATCTTGTTGGGATACTACCTCAAGGGTCAAGAGAGAGAATTTTTTTATGGTTGAAGTTGTTTACTTCACTAAGTGGATGGAGAGCGAGACACTAGCTCGAATTACGGATGAAAAAGACATTAATTTTTTGTACAACATTTGATGTTGTTTCGGAGTTTTGAGGGTGTTGATTCCAGATAATGGAACACAATTCAATGGTCGAAAGGTGCGAGTTGGTGTGATGAGATAAAGATCGAGCAATATTTACTTTCAGTAGCTCACCAGCAGGCCAATGGACAGGTCGAGCTCACGAACAAAGCTATATTAAATGACTTGAAAACAAGGCTGAATGGGCTTTACAAACTTGGGTCAATGAGTATTATGGGTTTATCGCACAACACCGAGGTCGACCGCATGAAACTCTCTGTTTAGCCTCATTTATGGGATGGAAGCACTGATACCTGTCGAATTTGGGTTGAGCTCACAGAGGATGATGACCTACGAAGGAAAAGAAAATGAGGAGTTAGCTCGAGCTTCTCTGGATACAGTGGAAGAGCTCAAAAAACAAGCAGCTATGCGAGTGGCGACCTACAAGCAAAGAATGAGGATAGCTCATGATAAGAAAATAAGAAACCATAGGTTTTAGGTCGGTAATCTTGTTTGTAAGAGGGTAGATGTTCTCAAACACGTGGACAAGCTCGAGCAAAACTAGGAAGGTCTGTACACCATTAACCGAGTATATGCGGGAGGACTTATGCTTTGAGAGAAACAAAGGAAAGTTGTTATCTAGGTAATGGAATGTGATGAACTTCAAAAAAGAATACCATGCTTAAATTACCAGTTTTATGTGGCTTTTATATTCGTTGTGATCAATGCAGGGAAAATTTTTTAACCCGGGGCTGCCTAATATTGTAGCTATTATTAGAACCGAGTAGACATGGTCATGGGCCGACCCAGCCTGTCGGTTTGGCTGGAATCGATACAAACCGGTCCGTTGACCATGAGTCCTTAACAGACCCATGGTTTTGACCAATTCGGTTCATGTACAATACTTTATAGTTTATAAGTTTTGAACTGGAACAGGAGGTTCGAAATTTTTTTTAAAAAAATATCATTTTTTAATTATTTTTTATTTTTTTATGAACTGGACGGCCAAGGACTGACACTTCACTTAATCGGCCCGTGCATATGTTCGTGTCGATTCAAGACCTTCCAACTCTCAACTCGGGATCGACGGTTTCGACATATAACCGGTTTGGTCATGACTAGAATCAAATTATCTGTTAACGTATGATGGTTTCAATTGGAAACCTCAATCTCGACTCGCTTATATATTTAAGCAAGCTAAACTCAAATAGTTAATCGAACTTGTCGATCAAACAAATAGAGTAAAACATGTTTGCAATCAATTCTGTAAGAGTTTTTTCTTTGTCTAGGAAATGAGGTCAAATTAATTATTGGAGGCGAAATCAACAAAAAAAAAAACAAATGAAAATGGGTAATGGACTGTGCAATGAGACGAACCAATTAAATAGCCCGCAGGAGAAGTGTGTGTCAAGCTTAATTATCTAGCTCATTTGGTACTTGTCAAGTCAGCCCATTAAAAATTAAATTTAGAAGGCAGGAGTGTGTTGGGTCACATTATAAACCCAATTAATAAAAATCTAATAAGGTCAAAATTGTCACTTGACAATAAATGATTATCTTTTTTTCTCTCACTACGACCATCACTTTTCCACCATTATTGTCAGATAAAAAACTTCGACTTGAATCTTGAGGCATCCAGCCCGAAATTAAAAGGGTGTACATAAAAAATTACTTGGGCCTATATATAATTTTTTAAAAAAATAAGATTACCAAATTTTTTTATTTTTTTTTTGACATGGGGTTGGAGCCCACCCTAGCCCAAGGGTAGCTCCGCCTCTGGATCAATGAAGATTACTGTGTTCTCAATGTTTGTAATTTTGATTAAAAGACTGAGGTTATTTTCTTTTATTGAGACAAAGGGGCAGACCGCAGTGGCAGGACAACCTCATCAAGGATTGAAGTTTCAACAAAAATTTGGCATGATTAACGCTTCCGAATTGGCCAGTCAATCATGATTCCTGACCTTAGAGGTAGGTCGAGCGATTGTTGGAGCCTTGATGGGCTCGTCTAATGTGTTTGGGTAGTTTAAAGTTCGTACCTCTACATGAAAAATCGAGACTTTGTCGTAGAGTTTGGTTTTCGTAGTAAATCTTTCGACTTTAGCTCCTAGGTGTGTTAGTTATAGTTCGTTTCTCTTGTTTTCACCTTTTTACACGGTTTTAAGCACTCCGGTTGGGTAAAGTTTAGGTCTTTCATTGACTTTTGCACCTCTAGTTCATTGCTTTTTAATTCCTTAGTCTAACCAAATCAATTACTTAGAATGTTTAGGACCTTATTTTCGGTTTTTGTGCTTTTGGATAACTAGTTAATAGAAAAAACTCCGGAAATTTTTTCTTGAGAGACGACCCGAGGTTTGAATAACACGGTTATCAATTATTCACGCTAAAACCAACCAAACAGTCGATCGAGGTTTTTTGTAGTACCCGTTTACGATTTTTAGAATACGACTTAAAGAACAATGGTCAATAGTGGCGAGATGTATTCCACTATATTAGTTGGTTTATAATTTGTAAATTGTTNACACTCTGATTTATTGTTGGATTGGGGCTGTCCCCACCACATTTAAACCCCTTTCATCTATTTAACCCCAAATAGAACACAAATCACAATGACACTACCATATCTAATCTTCCTAATTACAAGGGTAACTAGAGCTAAAAACAAAAATGTACTTTTATGTCATTTTTACCCTTCTCATCATATTTCTTACCCAAATGATTTACCTATGGATGAACCCTAAATGTGAAGGCAAACTTCCTCCAGGTTCCTCAGGCTTCCCTTTCATTGGAGAGACCCTTCAATTATTCATTCCAAGCTACTCCCCTGATGTTCATCCATTCATTAAGAAAAAAATCCAAAGGTATGTAACAAAATTAATATTGATCCACATTTATTTTTGTTGGACCTAAAATGATGTTAGTCTAAGCTTTTAAAGTCATTTGGTAATAAATCGTACGCAATTGAAAGTGGACAAAGGTATAACAGTGAAAAAAGAGAATTTCCTCTCAAGTCTAGTTTGAGACCAAAGTATAAAACTTATTTTCCTTTTTATGTGTTGCAATTATTATAAACCCAATTTTTTGCATTTGAATGNACTTGAGTCGATGTTTTTCATTCAATATTTAGGTACATTTTATATGTAACTAAAACAAAATGAGCCAAAACCAATTTGTATAGCTCATTTACAAATCCACCTAAGTCTTGAATGACATGAAGTAAAAGGAATCCAAAGTCATTCCAAAGCTTAAAAAAATAAAAATAAATGGCACATAAACCTACATAGATTAGTTAAAAGAAAAAATTGGAGACTTAGTCATGTAACTTACGCCAAATTAAGAAATAGTCTGGTGGTTGCGTTGATTTTATAAAATATCATGTAACTGCAAAAAAAATAATAAATAAAACTGACTTTTGGTCCTTCCACCGGCAAAAGCCAGTCAATTTGATCGGTTATTTAGTTGGATATGTTAGTCGACTATATATTAAGTGTACGAAAAAAATAAAAAATAATATCCACATTAGCAGCTGGTCACAGGTACTGGCTTTTGCCGGTGGAAGAACCAAAAGTCAGTTTTTTTATTTGCAGTTACATGATGTTTTGTAAAGTCAATGCGATCACAGGGCTATTTCTCAATTAGGTGTCAATTACAGAACTAAATCTCCATTTTTTCCATTACTTAAACATACACATATGTATGTACTATAATTTCATACATATATGCTAACATATTTTTTTTTTTTCTCAGACACGGGTTTGTATGAACTATAATTTCATACATACATGCTAACATATTTTTTTTTTCTCAGACACGGGTTGTTGTTTCGTATAAACGTTGTTGGCCACAATGTGGTGGTATCAGCCGATCAAGAATTTAACCGTTATATTTTTCAGCAAGAAGAGAAATTGGTCGTCCATTGGTACCTCGATTTGTTTGCCAAGGTTTTCGAACAGGAATTTAGACCCGACGGTCTCACTATTCATAAGTACACAAGGAATTTGGTCTTAAACCATTTTGGCTCTGAGAGTATTAGGCAAAAACTGCTTTCCGAGTTTGAAGAGATTGCTCGCAAACACATTCACTCATGGTGCACGCAAGACTCGGTTGAAGTGGAACGTGCTTCAATTGTTGTAAGATAAATTTTCGTCGATTGATTTCCACAATTGTTAGTCGAAGCCGTTAGATAAGTTTTCGTCAATTAATTTTTTTATATGGTCAATTACATATTACATATATATATATATGCCAAAAAAAACATTCAGATAACTTTTTTGACATAACGCGTTTTTAGATAAGTGTTATGTAAAAAACACGAGGTCCTTAAATAAAACTTAATTTAACAGAAGAGTAAAAGTAAATAACACTTCTTGTAATAATGTTATATAAGTTGTAACACGTATATATTATTAGTGTTTTCATGCCTCTTCAATTATAAGTCATAACACTTCATCCAACTCCTACAAATTCCCCACTCCCAACATAATAAACATAAATGTACACTTATATGAGCATTACATAATAAATCGATTATTGTGACTTTACGACAATTCACAGTATAAATATATATATTTTTGTTTCAGTAATTTTTTATTTCGAATTGGCTCCTGAGAGTACAAATGGGACCAAAAACTTTATACATTTTTATTTAATTTGAATACTAACATGTTCTTTTAAATCTCTTTAATATATAGATGTTTGCTGAACTTTGCGGGAAACATCTGTATACTCATGGTGGTGAGAGCTCAGAAGATTTTGCAGATTTGTTCATCAAACTCAGTAGAGCTGCGATGTCGTTTCCTTTGAACATTCCTGGTACAACATTTCACAAATGTCTCAAGGTAATTTTTTTAATTGCAACCCAATTCAATTGGCAAATTATTATAAAATATGACCAATAACTACTTGGGGTTTGTGATAAACTTGCTCAAATTAAAACCGTATGTCCAAAAAAAATCATGCCAAAATTGTCCAACTAAATAATTGAAAAAATTGCGAAATTTCATCATTTTACTCGTGTGTTTAGTAGCCAATTAGACTTATAAATTAGGTTTATTTTCTCTATATAAACGATGTAGGATAACTCACAATTGAATATTCTAATACTTATAATTTAATTAACTAGCGACATTTTTTATAATCGCGAAAGTTACTTTTGCAGTTTTTTCCATCTATCTATATTAAAATTATATAATAAAAAAAAACTAATTTTCGAGCCTTATCGAACTGAGTCAAGTTCACGTGCGTGTCTCATTTCATTTAACAGCTCTACAGACAGCAACACACTACACTATTTTCAACTGTTTATATCGTTTTAGGAATAACAACCTTTTGAGTTAAAAGATATCTTTTTTTTTTTAATTATTACAGGACAAGGAAAAAGCGTTAGACACGGTAAGGAAAATCGTGATTGAAAGGATTGCTTCGCCTCGGAATAATCATGGCGACGTGCTCGATGAGATGGTCAACGACATGAAGACCGTTAAATTTCTCACGCCGGAATATATTGCACAGTTCTTATTTTCACTGTCATTTGCCGCATTTCAGACAATCTCCGGCATGCTGACGCATGCGGTAAACTTCGTAACACAAAATCCGGCGGTTCTTCAGGAGTTAATTGTGAGTGAAATATTAAAACAATCGATTTTTTTTTAATTTCATTTAAATACTAATTAAAATAAGTGTATTCAAATGGGATTTCATGTGACATTTTGAGACTTTTAGGGGGGTATATTTAATTAGATTTCTAAGTACTTTTTAAGACTTTAGAAATCCTGGTGTATTCAATTTAGATTTGTTAAGACTTTGTAAGACTTTTAAAAATCCTGGGGTATTCAATTGAGATTTTAAAAAGCCTTTCAAAATCCTGAGGTATTTATTAACTTATTTGACACTATGATTTGGTAAGACTTTTTAAGATTTGGTGGGATTTCTAAACAAAAAAACCTTATACGAAATCCTACTTCAAATCCCACCTCCAAAACTAAGGGGGGTGTATTCAATTCGGAATTTAAGTGACATTTTAAGACTTTTCGAGATTTGAGACTTTCTAAGATTTTCAGATTTTGGAAGAATTCTATGAAATTTCAAGTCTGGAGGTAAGATTTGAAGTGGGATTTCATATAAGGTTTTTTGTTTAGAAATCCCACTAAATCTTAAAAAGTCTTAATAAATCCTAGTGTCAAAAAAATTAAATACCTCAGGATTTTGTAAGACTATTGAAAATCCCAATTGAATACCCCAGGATTTTTAAAAGTTTTAAAAAGTCTTAATAAATCTAAATTGAATACACCAGGATTTCTAAAGTCTTAAAAAGTCCTTAAAAATCCTAATTAAATACACCCCCCTAAGATTTCACGGAATTTCTCTAAAATCTGGAAATCATAACAAATCTCAAATCTTAAAAAGTCTCAAAATGTTACTTGAAATCCCAATTGTTTACATCCTTAAGATTTTTAGATTTTGGAGGAATTCTGTGAAATCTTAAGTCTGAAAGTGGGATTTGAAATGAGATTTCGTATAAGGTTTTTTCTTTAGAAAATTCACCAAATCTTAACTGTTAAAAAAAAACTGACGTGGCACCCAATAAGACACCTCATCTGCTGAGTTGTATTTACCATCTGTGTCAAAATTGCGCCTAATATCACGACCTTTATCATGATTGCAAATTAAATCACAACCCTTTAACTTTTGCACAGAATATCACGCTCTTCATTTTTTTTTGCAAAACGATACACGCTTCTCACCAGTTGCCCCAAAAAAGCTGACGTTGGCACCCAAAACCTAGTTATACATGTTTTTCCTAAACCTGGTTTTCTAATCATCAAGTCACCACTGCATATATAACAACGTAATTAAAAAACTAGATTAATGCAAAACAAGTATAAGTACATATAAACATAATTAAACCAATATATAATCCTAATTATGTGCTACTTAACAAAACTCTAAACCCTAATGGTATGATTGGTATAATGGAATGGAATTTGATAGGAATGGAATGGGTTCAAGTATGGAATGAATATGGGAAAGGAATGAAACAAGTTTTTCCATTGATCTGTTTGGAATGCAGAAGAAATAAGACTTTTATAAATAAAATATATTTTTATATTAAGAAATATTATTCTTGTCGGCTTCATATTTGTGTTTGATGATGGATAGGGAATGATGTTTTGAAGATTTAACGGGCTTATCCTTTCTGCATTTCAAACACATCAATGGAAAAACTTGTTTCATTCATTTCCCATATTTATTCCATACTTCAGCCCATTCAATTCCTATCAAATTGCATTCCATTATACCAATCATACCATTAGGGTTTAGAGTTTTGTTAAGTAGCACATAATTAGGATTATATATTGGTTTAATTATGTTTACTTATACTTGATTTGCATTAACCTAGTTTTCTAATTACATTGTTATATATGCAGTGGTGACTTGATGATTAGAAAACCAGGTTTAGGCAAAACATGTATAACTAGGTTTTGGGTGCCACGTCAGCTTTTTTGGGGCAGCTGGTGAGAAGCGTGTATCGTTTTGCAAAAAATTGAAGAGCGTGATATTCTGGGCAAAAGTTAAAAGGTTGTGATTTAATTTGAAATCACGATAAAGCTCATGATATTAGGCGCAATTTTGCCACAGATGGTAAATACAACTCAGCAGATGAGGTGTCGTTTTGGGTGCCACGTCAGTTTTTTTTTTAACAGCTGATGAGAGGCGTGTATCGTTTTGCAAAAAATTGAAGGTCGTGATATTCTGTGTAAAAGTTGAAAGGTTGTGATTAATTTGCAATCACTATAAGGGTCGTGATATTATATGCAATTTTGTCACTCTCAAATAATAAGTTAATTACCTCAGGATTTATGTAAGACTTTTTAAAATCTCGATTGAAAAACCCAAAACTTTTAAAAATATTAAAAAGCTTTAACAAATCTAAATTGAATACGCTAGGATTATTAAAATTTAAAAAAAAAAAAACATAGAAATCTCAATTGAATACACCTCCTAAATTTGTTTCCAAAATTAAAATATTTTTTTTCTATCATTATTGAACTGCAGGCTAAGCATGAAGAAATCCTCTCAAGAAGAGAGGATATTAACTCCCCAGTTACTTGGGAAGAATATAAATCCATGACCTTTACTCTAAAAGTTAGTGGTTATAAATATATTTTCATTATTCTCTTCTTTTTTTCCTGGCTAATTTGATCCTATCCGTGAGTAGTGTTCTAGTTGGGTTATAGCCGTTAGATCATACATATCTGTATGGGTATGTGTATCATGATCTGACGGTTAAGACCCCGTGGGCATTACCTATGGGTAGGGTGAAATTTACACGTATATATTATTATTATTATTATTATTATTATTATTATTATTATTATTATTGGTTATTTGACTACCAAATTCATGTGTGTAGGTAGTTAATGAGACTCTGAGATTGGGAAATACTGCTCCTGGATTTTTAAGGAGAGCTGTAACGGATATACAATATAATGGTATGTTTTTTTTTTTCAAAAAGAAAAATTTATTATACATTAAGCTTTTAGAACATATTTGTTTATAAAAATGTTTGGTTTTGTTTGGATTTTTTTATTTGGTTTGGTTAATTTTAAAAAATGTGATATGATTAGTTGTTAGTGGACATATTAAAATAATATTAAAATAAAATAATATAAATTAGTTTGATGTAAAAGTAGGAGAGAGAGATTTGAAGTGATGGTTAGTTTAAATAATGTGAGTGAGTGAATAGTGAATTAAGGTTGATGTAGTGTGTAAGAATGATTGATTGATGTTATTTAATTATATTGATAATTTTGATTATAGTGGAGTTAAGTTAAAGTTGAGTTAAAAAAGTGATTTAGTTAAAATGTTGGAATTTTTTAAAAAAATTTCATAAACAAACATGCTCTTAGAAACTACAAAAGCTACCATGAAAGTTTGAACATACTTTTGTAATTCAAAAAAAGAAACAATATAAACCTTATTTTTCAAAATTATAGATACATTTTAAGCTATTAAAATTATCTATTTGATGTACATAATATTATGGGTAAAATAAATTCACTTTAAGCTATTAAAAATTTAAAACTATCCGTTAGAACGCGCGTCAAGTGCTCATAATATTACGCACATAATACGATATGATGTGGACACGTGGACATTGTCTGTGTCAAAAATTTGGAATCTGAGCATGTACAAAGTCCCTTTTGGCATCTCACGTTCTCCCAGGATGTCTAATAATACATTGAACATAAAAGAAGGCCAAATATAGAGATTTAGTGCAAAGAGTCCATTACAACTAGATAGATACGTGGTAAGTAATTAGGAAGTATGATCTAGTTAGATCTCTTCTCTAACAAAGACTTTATTGGGTACCAAGATAACTACCAGTCACCAAAGCTAAAAAACGAAGACAGTTTGAAACGTACGCAAATTGACCCGGTTCACGACAGAAACTGACGCAACAGGATCGACTCGTTATACTTTATATACGAAAATGCATGTTTATACTATAAAATATCATACTATTTTAAAAAATAATTAAAAAAAAAAAAAGATATATTGTGTTAAAGTTAAGCAAATTTGTTAAAAAATGTATATCCGTTTAGTGATTAGACTAATCTAACATAAGCTCTTTCGCATACATAGTAGTGTACATATTTTCACAAATGTTGGGAATTCAATCAAATAAAACATTAATATATACTAAACCATATGAGAGTTTAGGGATTTTCAATTTGTGAGTTTTTGTAATTACTACATAAAGTTTATTTTTATTCTTATTATTAACCCTAGGATTACTTGATCTAATGTTTTAAGACTATTTATACTCGAATAACTATATAAAGATCAATATTTAACAGGTTATACAATACCAGAAGGATGGGGAATTATGGTTTGCCATTCAACTATGCATTTGGACCCCAACATATACAAAGATCCTCTAATATTCGATCCTTGGCGTTGGACGGTAATTATTTAGAATTATATGACAATGGTATACAGTGTTATTTTTAATTATGTGTTATGCTATTTTTACATCATATGGTTCTATAATATTACACATAAATGTAGAGTTTTCCAAATATACATATCAACCTCTAGTGATTCATAATTTTATATGTCGCTTTCTATGTTTCGTAATTTTATGTGTGAAATTATAGTTCGTCATAGTAGTCCATGTAGATTTTTAAGATTATACAACACTTGATCAAGTTAAATTTTAAATATATTTTAATAATTAATAAAATTTTTATCTTTTGTCAGTTTTTTATAGATGATATATAAAATTAATAATCTTTTGACGACTTTAATTTGATATTCATATTTATATATAAAAAATATATACATCTAGTTTTATAAATAAAAAATAAATTGTCTAATATAAAAAATATTCATATTTATAAAAAATATTATTTACTAATTGGATTTATCTATCCAGTCTATTATATGATCTGAGTTATAAAATTTTACAAAATATGACGAGCAAATCATGTCGGTTATGAGTCTCATTTTAAATAACAACAAAAAATGAACATTTTAAAAAGTATTTAAAATTTCATATAAAAGATTTTTTCACATATTAAGTATAATGTTTTCAATTGACAAACGTATAATACACGGGTGCTATAACACTATTAGCTTATATTATGGTTGTCTTTAGAAATAAATTTTGTTTATTATTAGCTTATATTATGGTTGTCTTTAGAAATAAATTTTGTTTAGAAACAACGTTCTTTCCATTCTTCAACTAACTTTTCTTATTTGAATCACAGTGTACACATATACATCCCCTGTATATTCATGCAGAATGTTCCAAACTTACATGTCGACTTTTGATGCTTCGTAATCTTATATGTCGAATTTTTGTGCTTATAATCATGTGAGTCAATTTTAGGTACAGAGTAGCCCGACCTATTATAAGTTTTAAAATTATACATATTTACTAACATTAATTATAAATATGTTTGAAAGTCAATAAAATTTTTATTTATCATCACTTTTTTCATAGAGTACATCAAATTAATTATTTTTTAACGAGTTTCGATTTGATATCCACATTGTATATATAAAATAAATAAAGAATTTACTTTTTTAATAAAATTAAATCATCTACTAATACTAATTAAAAACTAAAATTTTATATATCAATTGAAAAGGTAATATATGAATTTACTGATTAGAAAAATAATTATAATATAAGATGAGTCAATCAGGTGATATGTCTCATTTTAAATATAAAATTTTGAACTATGTAATCCTATGTGATGTACTAGTATATAACTATATATTATATTTGAATAGTATAATATAACATCTTAGATAATAAATAGCATTAAACCACTTTTGTTTTTTATAAATAGGATGTTGGACTAGAATTTATTAGCAAGAATTTGAAGCCCTTTGGTGGAGGTATAAAGCAGTGTGCAGGTGCAGACCTTGCTCGGGCTTCCATGAGCATTTTCCTTCATATTTTAGTTACCCAATACAGGTTTGTGATGTATATCTTTACCAAATTAAAATTGAGGATTTTGGCAAAGTAAAAAAATAAAATAAAATAGAGGGTGTGGTGGTTTTAGATTTAGACATTGACTGACATTTTAATATTTTTCTAAATTCGATATTTGCTAAGGATTTTTTTATTTATTTATTTTACGAAAAAAAACCCTTGAGAATATAAGTCTGTGGAATTTTGGATGTTAATTTATATATGCATTTTACCTTTTAAGTCTCAGTAAGTTTAAACTCTAACCACTTATTAATAATAAAAACATTGAATACTTTACAATTGTTTAAGATATTCTAAAATTTGATGTGAATACATTTAGTCTTTTAAAATCTCAAGACTTTAAAATTTCAAATGAATACCTCTTAATTTTTTAAGATATAAAATAAAATAGAAAATAAAATGTCTAAATTAAATACATCATAATTCTTAAAATAAAAAAAATAAAAATAAAAATACTAACTGAGTTCTCTTCATAATTTCATTAGGGAGTTTAATGCAAATTTTACTCGCAGGTGGGCTATAGTTAAAGGAGGTGTTATAGTTCAGAATCCACTGCGACACTTCAAAGATGGACTTCACATCCGTGTTTTCCAGAGACAAAATTGAGATCAGCACCATATATATTTATATTTATGCTGACAATTTCGAATATTTTATGTCTTCTCTATGAAATAATATGCATTATAGACATCGAATAATAATGCATCTCATGTATGAATATTGTGTCTTTTCTATGAAATAATATGCATTATAGACATTGAATAATAATTCATCTCAAGTATGAGGACATAAAATGCAATTTGCAAAAGATTTATGAGTGTGCTATTTCAAGATTTTGGCAACATACAAGATTGATTTCCGCCAAGGAATTATTGATATGCACAGCACAAAGAATTGCACTTACAAACAAAACAAAAGACAACA